TTCATGGGGTTGACTATGATGAAACCTTTTCACCAGTTGCAATGCTTAAATCTGTTCGGATTTTACTTGCCATCGCTGCATATCATGATTATGAAATATGGCAGATGGATGTCAAAACTGCTTTCCTTAATGGGAATCTTCTTGAGGATGTGTACATGACACAACCTGAAGGATTTGACATACCACAAGATGCCCAAAAGATATGCAAGTTACAGCGATCAATCTATGGATTGAAGCAAGCTTCCAGAAGCTGGAATCTTCGTTTTGATGAAACCGTAAAACAATATGGATTCATCAAAAATGAAGATGAACTTTGTGTCTACAAGAAGGTTAGTGGGAGCATGATCGTGTTTCTGGTATTATATGTAGATGACATATTACTCATTGGAAACGATGTCCCTACCTTGCAACAAGTGAAGACTTGGTTAGGGAATTGTTTTTCTATGAAAGACCTAGGTGGAGCAGCCTATATATTAGGAATTAGGATCTATAGAGATAGATCACAAAAAATTCTTGGCCTAAGTCAGAGTACATACATAGATAAAGTGTTGAGACGCTTTAATATGCATGATTCCAAGAAAGGATTCATACCTATGCAACATGGTATGTGTTTATCAAAAACACAATCCCCTTCAACTAAGGAAGAAAGGGATCGCATGAATAAGATTCCATATGCATCTGCAATAGGATCTATCATGTATGCCATGTTATGTACTCGACCAGATGTCTCGTATGCATTAAGTGCAACGAGTAGGTACCAATCTGATCCCGGTGATGCTCACTGGGTAGCTGTCAAGAATATTCTTAAGTACTTGAGAAGGACTAAGGATTCATTCTTGATATATGGAGGTCAGGAAGAGCTTGATGTAATTGGTTACACTGATGCTAGCTTCCAGACAGATAAGGATGATTTTAGATCACAATCTGGTTATGTGTTCTGTCTCAATGGTGGCGCTGTGAGCTGGAAAAGTTCAAAGCAAGAAACAGTTGCTGATTCTACAACTGAGGCCGAGTATATTGCTGCCTCAAATGCAGCAAAGGAAGCTGTTTAGATCAAGAAGTTCATTAGTGAACTTGGCATAGTCCCTAGCATTGTGGATCCCATTGGTTTATATTGTGATAACAATGGTGCTATCGCACAAGCTAAGGAGCCTAGATCTCACCAACGATCCAAACACATACTTAGGCGTTATCACCTCATTCGAGAGATAATCGATCGGGGAGATGTGAAGATATGCAGAGTACCTACACTTGACAATATCGCTGACCCATTAACAAAGCCTCTTGCGCAACAGAAGCATGATGGTCATACTAGATCTATGGGTATTAAGGGTATGCCTAATTGGCTCTAGTGCTAGTGGGAGATTGTTGGTGTAAGCCCTAGAGGCCAATACTTTTTGGTACTTGTATCGGATTATTCGTTTAATAATAAAAGGCATTTCTTTATTATGTTTGTCTTTCAGAATAATAAAGTCCCTAGAATAGTTAGTTTGTTTAATGAAATGTTAAGTGTGACTTAATCATGAGATCCCATTAAACATAAAGACATTATTCTTAAAATATCCGTAGTCAAGCTTTATTGCAAAGTGGGATAACATTAAAAGCATTGAGACTATTATGAAGATAGACTGATGATCACATCTCATGGATCATGGATAAAGAGTTATCAAGTCTTGACATAGGTATAAATATTAGGAGTAGTATTTATACCGGATTGACCCGCTATGAGAATACTACATAGTATGTTATGCAAAGTGTCATAAGTTATTCTCATGGTGATAATGGTGTATTACCACCCTTCGACCTGAAACCACTATGGACCCTAGATGTAGAGTCGGGTGCTTTATTGCTGATCAAACATTATCCGTAACTGGATGATCATAAAGACAGTTGATGGGCACTCCACGAAGCATGCTGAGGGACATGAGTGTCCTAGATGGAATTTGCCAATCCTGCATAACAGGAGAAATGTCTAAGGGCCCAATATTGAACTGGACAAGGATGACACAGTGTATGCCTTGTGTTCAATATAGACATAGGGGCAAAAGGGTAATTGTACAAACATATATTATCACGAAAAAGGTTTTGTCAGATCACATGACATTTTCGTGACTTGGGTAGCAGTGATGTGTTGCTAGATACCGCTTACTGTTTATTATGTTAAATATATAATTTAATATAATTACCAACGTTACGAAATCCTACAGGGTCACACACATAAGGACAGTTTGATGAGAGATAGAGAAATCAAAGGAACACCGTAAGGTACGGTGCACTTAAGTGAAAAATAGAAATTCGGATAATATAATAATAATTATTGTTATTTTATAATGGTTATAAAATAATAATAAAATAAATATATTTATTATAATAATAGTTATTATAATAATATATAATATTATTATGGATCATGTGAATTGGGTTTTTAGCCCGCAGCCCACAAGAGAGTCTATAAAAGGAACCCTTGTGATGAAGCTTTCACTTGATGCAATTTCGTTTTTGATTCTCTTTTCTCACTCAAATAATTCCGTTTGTAAGCAGCTAGCACTGTGACCGGAAGCTGTTCGTGTGGACTGAGTAGAGGCGTTGCACTTCATCAACGCTTGTGATTGCTGCATCAAAGATCTGAATCGCCACAAAGAGGTAACGATTCTATCACTGACCATGCTCATTCGTAAGGATCACTAAAGGAAATTTTTGTTTTCCGCTGCGTTTAGATCGCAATTTTCCTTCAGAAACACCCAGAATAAGAGTTCCAACAACGGCGACAACTCAATCTTACGTTAACAGAATATTAACCTCAAAATTCAATGGGTAACAATAAGTCGTTGATTTGGATGTTTGTCGGACATTTGATAATAATGTTGACTATTTTAAATTGAGGGTTGAGTTTTTCCAAACTCTTAATGAGGTTTTATACCGAGAATAAGTATCTCATGGAAAAGGATTACAATATCAAATTTACCTATGTGAATTTCAAGATGGTGTTGTCTCAAAGTGGGAGTTGGAGTTTCTTTCACAAAAAATTCATGAAACAGAAAAGCACATGGCCATAAATAAGTGATAGGTGAGATATGTAGGGGAAGAATCCTTAAAGAATGTGTGTAAGGTAACGTTTGTCTAATCATACAAATTAATGATTTAAAAGCATTGCTACCTAACATTACAATTAGACTTTGCATTGTCCTCACTAAGGCTAAGTTTTAAATCGAAAGATACTTAATTGTATTAATATGATTTATACCTCCTTTTATGGAATTTGTCTTGTCATTATTAGAATAAGTGGGGGATTATTGTAAATTATTAATAATTAGGTTTAAATTCAGAAATAAGCAACACTTGTGAAGTGTTGCAGTAGGTTTGAATTTGGAAATAGACAACACTTATGAAACAATGCATCCTTTGAAAATTGTTGTTGCAGGCGAAACAGTGTAACATTTGGTAAAAGTCTTGTTGTAGGCAAAACAGTGCAACGTTTGAAATGTCTTGTTGTAGGCGAAATAATGCAACATTTAGCATAAGTGTTACTGAAAAAGTGTGTGTTTCATCAAGGGTCGCAACGTTATGAAACAACACCAGTTTGACCAATAAATTGAACATTCCAAATTAAAAAAACATATTAGAAAAGTCTATCCCCTTCACATAAAATTATATTTTTCATCTTCCTTACATTCGAATTTTCTTCGGTCTTGTGCAAACTCGAGTATAGGTTAAATTATCCTGGGTATTTCTATGTTTCAACTTTAAGACATTTGAGAGTGTTTGCAATACTTATATATATATGAGTTTAATTGGTATGCACTCACAGTGTAAAATAATTTTACACTGTCATCCAATAGGAATATATTAATCTGTCATGTCATACAATTAACTTAAAATTTATAGTATGATGTGGCGGAATACATGAGGGTGATTGGTTGACAATGTAAAATGATTTTTCGCGGTCAGTGCATACCAATTAGAATGAATAATGTTGACACATGAGAACAAAAAAACATGGAAGAAATAGTTATTAAAATAGTTTAATTATAATTATTTATTTTTGTTTTTAATTTTATAATTATGTGTTAAAATAATTCATTTTAATTGGATGACAATGTAGAGTAGTTTTATGCTGAGTGTATATTCCAATTAATCTCGTATATATATATATATATATATATATATATATATATATATATATATATATATATATATATATATATATATATATATATATATATATATATATATATATATATATATATATATATATATATATATATATATATATATATATATATAATGAATAATAAATTAAAAACTCAAGCATTAAAAAAATTAATTTAATAAAAATAAAACAAAAGATCAGTCAATATAAAAATCTTAAAAGTTAATTTAATTTCTAAATAATTAATCTAATTATAATTACCCTCCATATCATTTTACTATTAATCAAAATAAAAATCAATTATTAAAATATGTTGGAGTATACATTTTTCTTCTCACGAATATGGACGTCTTTGTTTTAGTTTTTTTAAAAATAATTTTTATAATATTATATATTTTTTTGTTGAAAAAATTTTACAAAAACTATTTTAGTAAAATCTTCAAATAAAAGTTTATATATAGATATTAATTCATTTTATTAAAATATTTTTTGAATATCAAAATTTTAAATAATCATTTAATTTTAAAACTATTTCAAATATTTTATTTATAACAATCATTTTACAATATAATATTTTAAAAAAATTATGAATTATATTTTAATCTTTAATATTTTATATTTATATTATAAAATAGTAAATTAATTTTTTAATTTATATAAAATAAAATTTTAAAAACATTTAATATTTTTATAAAAATTATTTTAAAAATAAAAACAAATTCTATTTTTTGAAGTTAAAACAGATTAGCATTTTCCTTTTCTTTCTTTGTCTAATAATTTCTCTATATATAGAATGAACATACACTGTTAGCTCAAACGTTTGGAAAGCACAAAAGGCAGAACACTACTGATGGCTGCCATATCATACTCTCTTTCCGATAATCTTCGTTCACCGATCTTATCACCGCCGTCGAAAAACAAAACTGAAACGGAAAAGATCTGCATCGACGACATGTTTCAGAAATACTGCGGCGAGTTTGGAAAGTGGCAGTTGAAACACTTCATTCTCACCAGTCTCGCTTGGGCACTGCAAGCTTTTCACTCCATGGTTATGATTTTCACTGAGCGGGAACCTGATTGGGTGTGTGTTTCTGGTATGGAGTGCTCCCCCGGTGGAAGTGTTTGCAGTATGTCACCGGAGTCGTGGGAGTGGATCGGCGGAAAAGCTGCTTCTACGGTGACGGAATGGAATTTGATTTGCGGTGATAAGTATAAAGTTGGACTTGTTCAGGCTGTTTTCTTCGCCGGTTGTACGATTGGTTTGTACACTTTTCTCTTATCTTCTAACTGTCTTTTCTCTTGTACTTTCTCATTCCATAATATTTTCATCACATGTGATAATTTCACACTTTACACTCATTATCATAAATTGAGAATAATAATAATAATTTGATTGATGTAGACAATCTATATCTGAAAATATCATTAAAAAATTAAAAGTTAAAAATAAATAAATAATTTAAATAAAAAAAATTCTTAAAAAAATATTTGTTGCAAGTATGATAAATTAGAAAGAAAAAAAAGTTAACATTAAAATGAAAAATTAGAACAATGAAAATATTATACATCAAACGAAAAAGCACTAAAAATTAATTTGACACAAAATTAAAAAAATTGTAACACATTTAACAAACACCATCTAAAAACCAAAGTATAAAGAGCCGCTCTAACAACAATCAAGTCCTTTATACTATAACTTGAATTTGTGTCCGAATTGAAAACTATTAACCAAATAAACCTCTTCTATTTTTCTATCAGATTATATATATATATATATATATATATATATATATATATATATATATATATATATATATATATATATATATATATATATATATATATATATATATATATATATATATATATATATATATAAAATAAAGGTTATTAAAAATAGAAATAGAAGTTAAACCCGCAATAAGATATGTTGTTATTCTTTTTTAAATTGTAAAATCTTTTTTTTTAATTACATTTATAGATCTAGAAGATACACCACTATATTCATAAGTTTTTGAATTCTTTGTAAAAAAATCAACTACTTTTAGTGTTAGAAAATAAAAAATATAAAAATCGAACAGTATCAAAATATGTTGATTGTCGAAAATGCTATCTCATATTTGACCACTTTACATGAATTATTTTTTAGAGTTATTTATCTCACAATAAAACCTCCGGTTCTCATTTCCACCATAAGAAAAATTTCAATCAAATTTACACAAACATGTTTTTCTTCTATCCATCCAATCACCAAAATATCTATTGACTTAAATGTCGATCTTCCTTCATGTGGATCAGTCAAAAAATTTACTAATGTCTCTTTTCTTCACATATATTCTAGTCTGTCAAAATATATCAAATAGAATATCTCTAACAAGGTCATGTTGGTATTTAAATCAAGCTCCCTACAATGAATCTCATGATCCCCAAATGTATCCAAACACAAACAGAACAAACTTCATAAATAAGAAATAAAGGAATCATAAGACGATATTTTAGGATACTACGGTACTCCACCGATGACTTATGTTGGTCTAATCCATCAATAAGAATAGTAAAGAAAAAGTCTTGAATATGTGCGGTTTGCAAACAACAACAAAATTATTATTTGTCTTGTGATCATGTCAAATTTTACATCTATTTTTTTTAACAATTTTATTAAAATATATATTTGTCAAAACATATTGTACTTTAGAAGAAACAATGTCCATACTAGTTAAATTGGCACGTTTATCAATCGTTCTTTCACAGCTGTTTATCAAATAAAATAATTGTTTTTTTTCGTATAATTAAATTGGCACGTTTTTTGGGAAAAAAAAAATTTAACAATACCATGAAAATTGACATTATTGTAATTTCAAATATTCGGGCTCAGTCTTTTCCATTCTTATACTGAATGACACATTGCCACTGAGTTCGGTGGGACATCCGAACCGTCTTATCATATTATTGGATCCGGCTGAAATCTTAAGAAATGTATAAATAAAATTTAAAACTAATTCTCATAATTAATTAACATCTATTAAGAAAAACATGTCATTTATATGAATATCCGTTGCGTTCTATTTTAAACTATAATCTATTAGAATAACTGAGAGATTCTCATTACGTATTACTACTTTTCTTTTTCTTCTTATATTTGTATGCAATATTTTTATATTAATTATAATAAATATATATCTTGTGTTTTTTACATTATCAATAACCAACAATTATCATATTTTTTATAAATAAATATGATCAATATTAATTATGCGTCTTATTGTATATTTAATCAATAACAAATATTTATCAAATACTTTTTATATTTATCGATAAAGATATTTGTTCCGTATTGATTTGTGATGATAAATTTATTGATAGACATACTCAATTCTGTTTGTTGTCAAATAAAAAAATAAATAATATATATATATATATATATATATATATATATATATATATATATATATATATATATATATATATATATATATATATTCACAAGTAGATTAAATAAATTTTTTTTCTTCATTTTACATATTTTATGTAAAGCATAACCTAAATGTCACATTTTGTAATATATATATATATATATATATATATATATATATATATATATATATATATATATATATATATATATATATATATATATATATATATATATATATATATATATATATATATATATATATATATATATATATATATATATATATATATATATATATGATACTTACAAGGCCAAAACATAAATAATACATTACATAAAAACAAAATGTCACATAGTTCATACCATATATTTAATGACTAATCAATTATGCTCATAGAAACTAGAAACTATACATATTCCTTTTTCATAATAAAACTCAAACACATCAATGGTTCAATTGAACTCATAAAATTTAAGGAAGCAAGTTTTTCAACGTGAACAAATGTATATCATATAAATATTCTTCTATGAATGATTGGTGCTCGTTCGTAAAACAACTTTAAATTGAACAAAATGTTAAAACAAATAAAATAATAACAATAATAACTATAAATATTAAGAATACAAAATAACAATAAAATATGGTTAAAACAATAAAAAATATTTACTTGTTTATATTTCCACACTCTTTTTTTATGATCATACAAAATAACCGATAGACTTAATTGAATTAAATCGATAGATACAAATTAGAACATATTATTATATTAAAAAATAATCAACAACGATAAGAACGATGTACCTTATAAGATTGAAGAGACTCTCGTCGGAAAGTATGAAAGAATTACTACCCTTATTATTGTTTAGGGTTTTTGGAGTATGTTAATTGTCTAACGGAGAGACACTTAAATAGCTAAACGGCTGAGGGCAAATACCTCTCATTAGGCTTACTTGAATGGTCCAACCCATCACGACCCACTCAGACACAAAACTCAATCAAACAATTCACCTATTTAGTGTTTAATAACAATAGCCCATAATATAATTAACTAATAATTAATTATGTCAATCCATATTTAATTAATTAAATAATTAATCTAACAATCTCTCACTTGAATGACAATAATTAATTATTAAAAAAATATTGATTTTAATATTAGAATATCAATAATGGTTAAAATACTAATCAATAAAAAAGAAGTAAATTTCAACACTGCTGAAATTGTATATGATAGGAAAGACAAGTCATACATGTTAAAACTCAAAAATTTATATAAATAATGATGACTTTAGAGTAACATATTTAAGTTAAGAGTAGTATGTTATAAAGAATGACCCAAACATATGAAAATGCTATTGATAAACTCCCACTAACCCAAAATATCATAAGACTTACTCATGTATATAAGTCTATGGTTAATGATTATACTAATGAGTTTTAATTATAGGTCATATAGTATCCACATAGGTCTAAGAATAGTAATTAGATATAGGGATACCCTATTACGAGAGTAATTACATTTAATCATAAGTATCTTTATAACACAATATCATACTCGATAGAAGTATTGATATTTACTTGTACCTTAACATTATGACCTGACAAATGTGGAATATTGAAGATAGAATAACACAATATTATTGCATGTTAAAGAATTATTGTGTCTTTTCAACATCGACCTAAATATCTGTGAGATATTGAATCGAACTCTAGCATAGTCGACATACGTTTAACATGTCGTTAAAGTTTGCTCACATGCTATTGTCGAAGACTTACATGTTGTAGTCGAAATATGTTCTAGTATGTATTTGTCAAATTGGGTCTTATGTTAAGAATCCAATTGTTTAAGTTAGTTTGTACCCTAAGTTAGCTTGTAGTGGGTAATTGTTAAAAAGCCCATTAGTTTAGTATGTTATATTTTATTATAAATATTATACTAGTCTCTCATCTTAAGTGTGACAAATCCTAATTAGGTTGAGAGGGTTATTTGTTATTCTTGAGTACTTGTAATATGATTTAAAGAGAAAGTAAAGAATATCAGTTATAACCAATCCTTGTTGTTCTTCTTGTTTTTTCGTTAACCCTAACCTTTGTGTGTTTCTTGATAATAAAGAAATTGTTTATACTTTATTTCAAGACATCGTTTTTCATAACAAATTGGTGCGGTGAGCATGGAGAAAATGCCTTCAACAAAGTATGAGATTGAAAAGTTCACCGGAGTGAACGACTTTGGCCTGTAGCGCTTGAAGATGAAAGCTCTACTGGTTCAATAGGGTTGTTTTTGAAACGTTGAAGGGAGAGACAGTCATGAATGTTGCGTTAACGGAAACTAAAAAGACGACCATGATAGAGAAAGCCCACAACGCAATATTGTTGAGCCTTGGTGATAAGATTCTCTGATAGGTATCAAAGGAGACTACGACATTGGGGTTATGGTTGAAACTTGAAAGTTTGTACACGACCAAATCTCTGGTGAACCGACTCTACCTTAAGCAATCTTTGTATTCATTTAAGATGAGTGAAGAAAAAGTGTTGGCTGAGCAGTTGGACATGTTCAATAAGCTGATTCTTGATCTTGAAAATATTTATGTGAAGATCGATAATGAAGATCAAACACTATTGTTGTTGTGCGCTTTTCCCATAGCACACGCTCACTTTAAAGAAACTCTCCTTTATGGAAGGGAGCCCCTGAGCTTTGAAAAAGTTCAATCAACCTTGTTTTCTAAGGACTTTAATGAACGAAAGGAGCATAAACCTTCAATGGTTGGTGAAGGTTTGGCCGTTAGGGGAAAATTCTTGCGAAAGGATGGTAAGTTTCTATAAGAAGAAAGGTAAAAGTCAGC